AGCTTCAATATATTTCTGTGTGCTTTTATTTTCAGAAAGTCATAAATCCTGGAGCATGCACACATACAAACACAGACACCAAGTCCATTTTCATAAAGTCAGTTCCTAGCATGTTATATTTCTGTATCTTTTTTGTATCGGTATCATAGAATTTTACATCATCCGTTTAAAAGCAATCTGAGAACCTGCACATATAATTAGAGTACATGATCATCTCCAGGTGTGAACTTGGCTGTGAAGAGCATTTGTGTCTTTCCTCAAGGATTCTACATTCTGCTAACACAATTTCAACCAATGCAAAAGGTGATACAGTCCTATGAACTACTGTGGCCAAATGATGTGAAGTGATATTCATATCAGATATGGAAATACAGAATTGGAAGGGACTTCAGAGGTCTTCTAGTCCAACCCTCTGCTCATGCAGGAAACTCTATACAATTTCAGACAAACATACAAATGGTACAATAGTGGCTACTGTGTCAAATCCCCCAGTCAGCCAAAAAATTCCCTGGAACTTTTAGTTAGTCCTTCTTTCTCTCTTTTTCAACTTCCCTACCTTGCTATAAAGATAGAAGAAGGGAGGAGAACCATGTGTGTTGCCATTTCCTTCCTAAAGGTATGTGACCGATGCGATGTTAGAAATAGATCCTGTGGCAAAAATAAAAATGGAATGTCTCCTCTTACGTGGCATCTATCTTTTATCACTAAACTTGTTTTTAAAATTATATATATTAACATTTTAAGCCAGATTAATAAGAAACCTGTTTCAATGTTTTTTAATATACTCATTTAATTTACATTGCAGCCCAAATGTTTGCCAGCCTTTACCTATCAAACTTATAACAAGTGGTAACAGCAATCCATGTCCATTCAAGTGGAGAGTTGCTCCAATTTGTCAGTCTCCTAAAGAATTTTTTTTTTTCGTATTGGGGAAAGTGATGAATGAGTATGTGTGGTTTTATTTCTTCGTTAGATTTATAGCCTGCCTTTCATAATATAGCGCTTTCTCCCATAGAGTTCTTTGAGATAGGTTGTGTTGTGACAGAGTGACTGGTTCAGGATTCTCCCAGTGAGATTCCATAGATGAATCTCTCTAGTTCTATTCTCAAAATCTTCTCCACTCATTGAGATATACACAACAGAAGATGTCATGGAAAAACTTTCTGTTGAGCTAGGGCAACTTTTAGATTTGATAAATGTCCTATTCATGGAATTCCAGGAGGAGCTGGCGAATTTATGGTACATTTTACTGGACCTCAGAAATCATGAGATGTGAAGGCCCACTTTTAATTTCCTAGAAACTTTCCAAGAAGGGAGCCTGTGATGCTCCATTGCTAATTAGTATGTCTTCATCCATGACTGTTACAACGTAATACAGTAATAGTAGTAAAGTTGGAAGGGATCTTGGAGGTCATCTAGTCCAACTCCCTGCTCGGGCAGGAAACCCTACACCATTTCGGACAAATGGCTGTCCAGTCTCTTCTTAAAAACTTCCAGTGTTGGAGCATTTACTGCTTCTGGAGGCAGGCTGTTCCACTGATTAATTGTTCTCACTGTCAGGAAGTTTCTCCTTAGTTCTAGGTTGCTTCTCTCCTTGATTAGTTTCCACCCGTTGCTTCTTGTCCTGCCTTCAGGTGCTTTGGAAAATAGCTTAATTCCCTCTTCTTTATGGCAGCCCCTGAGATATTGGAATACTGCTATCATGTCCCCCCTTGTCCTTCTCCTCATTAAACTAGACATACCCAATTCTAGCAACCGTTCCTTATATGTTTTAGCCTCCAGTCCCCTAATCATCTTTGTTTCTTTTTTCTTTATCATGCCTTTGGGCTTCTGTTTTAGCACTGATGTATGTATCTTTTTTATCTACTAAGAGTGAAGTGATAAAGGGTTCTTCAAATCAATTGCTTCCTGAAATTTCTATATCAGCAAAACGACAAAGCCAACTCCTTAGAATTCATGGAACCTACAATTTCTCAGTTTAAAAGATTTGCAGGCACTGTCAGTATAGTGCCCTTAATGGATGTTGAAATAAATGTACTCCAGTAAGTGAAATCAGTCCTTTAATTCCCTTTGATGTTAACCCTTCACTTTTCAACTATCTCACAGTAACCTCCATTTCAAAATAAATCTGCCACCTGCTTAGAGTCACACTTGCATTTCATTTAGTTATGGTGAGAATTGCCCCAATACCCTCCTTGAATCTCAGATTACTTGCAAGCTAATACTGAGTGAACAATTTTTCCTCTTGTCAAGGTAGAGAGCCAGTTAGAAACCTCAAGCTTAGTAGGTGAAATTCAATCTTATTGTTTATTGGACTCATCACCTGAGTATCTACAGTAGGATTTCTCCAGCCCGATAGTTAGATGCTAATAGGATGGGTAAAAATATGTTGTATTCAGACTTTTATTGATTTTCCTCTTAGCACTATAGGATAAACATCTTGGGAAAAAATTGAAATTGTTATTATCTATGTTAATTTCAGTAAGAATTTTATATGTGCCAAAATGGAAAGATACGTCAATTCCTATACGGAAGAATGGATGGAAAAAGGAATGGAACTGGCAGAGATAACAAAATTAGTTGTTTTAATTAAGGAAAAGAATGTATCTAGCTTTGTTTCTACTTAGAGACCCCTTCTGGACTTTATGTAGAAACAGAAAAAATGTAATTTTGACTGAGAGTTTTAACAATTAGATTAGCTTGTTGTTATAAAAATGGCTAGTACTTACTAATTAAATAAGAGTAAAAAAGTTGAGAAAGTCCGTTGTGTCTTTTACAACATTGGAAAATTTTTGAAGCCACTGCTTGTTTTTCCTTTTTCCTTTTCCTCAAATCACTTTCCCTTTGTCTCCCTTCCCTATTTTCCTATTTCGTATTCCTGTCTTTAATTTCATTTGTATTTTGTATTAAGATAATATTAAATAAAGTTTATGAACCATAAGGAAAAAAGGACACAGAAGGATATAGACAAAGAATTAAGAACTTACGCTGAGTTTTCTCTTCATCTAAGAGATTGTTAGTGTGATGGGAGGGAGAGAGAGAGAAAGAGAGCAAATGTATGTTGGTCCATTATAGCTAGTTCAGTGCTATGTTTTGCCTATCTCTATACTAAATGAATCTTCTTTCTACTAGAGCAGTTTTACAGCAGAAAGGAGATTTATTTACAACAGTGTTTTTCAAACTCGACAACTTTAAGACGTGTGGATTGCAATTTCCAGAATTCCACATCTTACAATTCCCAAGTTTGAAAAACACTGATTGATAGGAATATTTGCTTATGTATCAAACTTGCTGTGGTTAGGTTTCTGATAGAAGGAGTAAGCATACAGATACACAGACACATAGACACAGACACACCCACAAACACAGTGTAAATCTCCTGCAAGCTTAAAATTTAAGATTTGTTTTATTCCACTTCAGAAAAATGAGGCTCCTAAATTTTATTGTGTTTTTGATCAATAAAACTTTCTAACACTCCATTGCCTGATCTTGATCCATCTCACTATTGTACACGATCATCTTACAATTTCTGTGTTCGTAGTGTCCCTATAAACTTGCATACTTTTTTTTTTTGAGCTTTTTTTCTTAATCCCACCTATTGTTACTTTTCAGAATTCTGGCTACATAGAATTCTGCCTTTGCTTGAGTTTTCCCATCTCATGATCTTCTCCCAAAGTGCATTCAGGTTGTGCAAAACAGTATTTGAAGCATTTTGAACTCAATATGTGGCGTCTTTACAGCTCAGACCATAATTTATCATTCAGAGGTGTTTTTTTCTGGAATGGTCAAAGCAGCGGTTTCTGTCGAGGGCAGAGGGAATAGCATGTAGGACAAGAGGAAGAATTGTTTTCAAAGTCAGATAAAAGGAGTCTGAGCCCAGACCAGGAAATTAACTTGAGAAAATATCTCAGAAAAAATATCTCTGTCTCTAGTTCACTCAGAAATAACAGAAGGGAAGGAGAAGCATATTCAGGCTTGCACGATTTTGTACTATGGCTGTTATAGTACAGATAATCCTTGACTTATAAGCATCTCCGTGGTCACAAGAAAAAAATTCAAGCACTTGGCACCTAATATGAATTTACAATAATTGCAGCTTCTCAGGGTCATGTGACCACCATTTGCAACCTTCCCCGCCATTTTCCAGCAAGCAAAGTCAATGAGAGAAGTAGGTTTCACTTAACAACCTCCTGATTCACTTAATAACTGCAATGTTTTGCTTAACAGCAGTGGCAAAGAAGTCATGACATTAAGTGTGACTCATTTAACAACCATCTCGCTTAATCATGGAAATTCTGGTCCCAATTGTGTTCAAAAGTCAAGGATTGCCAGTAAAAAGTAGCTCTGATCTACATGGCATTGTTTTCTTAGATTGGTCTACCTTCCAGAGTTGATGGTTTCAAACGTGAAATGGGGCCTCTCATTTATTTCTAATAGGCAGATCAGTTTTATTTTTTTTCCACAGATGTTGGTCTACATTAACACTTCTTCTCTCATGAACTACTATCTGCATCAGCTTCTGACTCTGATACTGACTATGTCAATTTGAACAAATTAAAAACTCAGCGAACTTTTCCAGCTAAAGAATGTTGATGTGTCTGAGATAAAATAACTTAGAAACAAGAGATAATCAGGGTTATGATACAAAAACATCAGAAAAAATAAAAGAAAGCTTGCTAATGTATTTTACAAGCCCTGGTGGCACATGGTTAGAATGCAGTATTGCAGGCAAACTCTGCCCACAGCCCTAGAGTTCAATCCTGACCAGCTCATGATTGACTCAGCTTTCCATTCTTCTGAGGTCAGTAAAATGACCCAGATTGTTAGGGGCAATTTGTAAAAAATGCTTCTTCATTGTAAACCACCCAGAATTTGCTGTTAAGTACTATGGGGCAGTATATAAGCCTAACTGCTATTGCTACTGCTATTTTCTATAAGACTGGATATTTATTATGTTACAGTAATAACATATTTTGTTTTTGTTGTTGTTGTTCAACAGCAGAGAATTCAGGATGGGTTCATACCCTGCTTCCCAGGATCTCACACCGATTGCAGGAGCGTTGTAACACCCAGTTTGGCACATGGCTGGATGCCACAGATCACCGCCTCTCCTCTCAATCAGAAACACCACATGGTAAGTCTTTGGAATGGGCTTTCTATTCTGTGGGAAATAAATTCACCACCTGGTTGTGATTTATTTATGGTTAACATAAAAAATAAGCCTCTCTTTTAAAAAGAAAGAAATACACATTTTTCATATCCCAATCTTTATAAAATTACAGCAGCACAATCTTCATATAAAGATGAGTCAAATTTTGGAGCGTATATACAATTATCTTTGTATTGCTTTCTTTTTTTTAGTTAGGCTTTTCTGCAGTTTCTTAAAACCACAGAAGAATCAGTGCAAATTTTCTCAACAAAAAGTGTTGCTATATTATTATTTCTACCTACAATTGAAGGTAAGATACCTTGTAGAAGAGGAAAATGTTTGGGGCACTTGTATATTGATAAATTTTGTATAGTAGTATTTTGGTACTCATTATTAATTGGTTCCAGGAATGCAATGAATACCAAAATTTTCCCTAAAGAATAATATAGTTGGTTCAAAAGCCATTTGACGCTGACAAATTCTAGCTTATTCATTGAGTACCAACAAACAATGAGTACTGAGATAAAATTTTCATGTCAGAATGTGTTGAGTACCAAATTCAATGAGTTTCAAAGCAGTTGAGTACCAGGATACCACTGTAAACCATGAGATTGCTGTATTTTGACAAAATGGAGTCATCTCTGGAGTTTTTCTCTTCAGACTTCAAAGGTAGAACTAATGTTGTACATGCACAAGGAATGTATGCTGTAAAATCTAGTAAAGACTCTTGAATAGTGTTTCTTAACCTTGACAACTTTAAGATGTGTGGACTTCAATTCTGGAAGTTGAAGTGCACATATCATAAAAATTGTCAAGGTTGAAAAACACTGCCCGACAAAATGTATCTTTCATACTAACTGGGATGGGCAACTTTTGAAGGCCAGAGACAATATGATATTTTATGCGGAGCAAGATGTTTTAGTGGAGACAGAATCATGCCAAGCATGTGAAGCTGGGTCATACATATAGCTAAACTGAGATTATTCCTGAATTTTAGGAATAACATTTTTGACAAGGTTAAGCTTATTTTAGAGGTTATCCTACAGTTTTTATGAATCTCCTACTACAAAATTTTGCAGGGGTGGGATTCCATTTATGTATTATGGGTAGGGACTGCAGCTTGACAGAAATGGATGTGTTTCTTTCAAAAGTAATCTTTAGTGTTTTAAACAAGATCGCACCCAGAATGGGAGAAATTTTTTATGCGGAGGACTCAAGTGTTGAAGGAAAAGTCTTTATCATGATTCATCCAAGCCGGGAATAAACAACATGCCGACTGCTTTAGAAAGAAGGTTGCAGTTTATTGAAGAGGAGAGCCAGACAGGAAGAAGGCTCTGGAAGAAAAGAAAAGAGAGCACATGTAGGGAGTGGGTTTTTATACCCGCTGGAGCCTTTTGTTTGGAGTTGTTTCCTGTTCCTGTTTCAGGCTTCGTATATCCTGTGTCACGTATTCTGACCTGAGTCTGAGTGTGCCTTTCTGGTATTCTGATGGTGGTGGGTTAATCCTATTATGTCCCAAGGGTCATATCCTGCTCTCCTGGGGCTGTGGCTGATGACTCTTAGATTTTTGATGTTGACTCTAGAGATCTTTCTTCCTAATCCCAGCTTCCTGACTCCAGTCTTTCTGACAAGATTATCTGCATTTCTGCAGACTTGGTTTCTGCTTGGGACAGAGATACTTGGGGGCAGGGTTGGTTTCTGCTTTTAAAATCCTTTAAGGAAATATATTCTGCCCTTTTAATATTTCCTTCTCTGGGGGAGGCTGACTTCCCACACAAGGAAGCCAGTCTCTTGGCAAACTGGGTTAGATGAAAAATCTGATCTGTTAGAAGGCAGCTTTTCACATAGTATGGCTTCAAGTAGATTTGAATTGGCCATTGCTTAAGGAAATTCCGAGAGAAACCATGAACTGTGAAATTGTGAGTTCTAAATCTCATCACATATGAGGTTATTTTCTATATGAACCTCTTTGGTAAAAGAAATGGGGAAGGACAATCAGGCCCCAAAGATCGTATTGTAACTTTTGGAGAATTAGACATTCCTTTTTTTTCTTATTACGTGGACTGGCTGTAAGACTGTGGCATAATGAGCTTTCTCCTGCATCAGGTTTGCCAAATTCATTCTGTAGTTTTGATATATGAGGATGGAAAACATTAAGGAAATTATACACATGAGCACGGTGTTTGGCATGGGCTGTTTCTTTCCCCACAATTGATTTGCTGCGGTGTCTTGTAATTTATTCATACAAGGAAACAATGATGGATGGTGTAAATTATTCTTCTTTTTCCCTTTTGACTTAAATAATAATTGCCAATATCTCAGAACTATATGGAAAAATATAAGGGGGGGGATAGACAGTATACATAGAGTGTTGCAAATGTTTGCTGATGGTATTTTTTCTTCCTCCTCTTTCAAGGGAGGGCAGTTTTGAAAGGGGGGAGTTCAGAACCAGCTCAAACTCCCTGATTAAGGGTTCCAGAAAATGTTTGCTCTTTGTCTTGAGCCTGTTTTTCTCTAAAGCTTTCTCCCAATGTTGGAAACTAAAGATAGGGAAAGAAAAAGAAATACAACAATAAGAATACTTCCATAAATATGTACAAATAATACATAATATGTAATGTATTCCAGTATATGTACTGCATATAACACATTGCTCAGACACCCAGACCAGAAACAAACTGAGCAATGTAGTATATGCAGTACAGTGCAGTGAGCCATGCGCAGATCTGTATATTGGGGAAACGAAACAACCACTTCATAAATGTATGGCACAACATAGGACAACAAACCCATCAGGACCAGATTCAGCAGTCCATCTGCATTTAAAAGACAAAGACCACTTTTTTAAACACAGCAAAGTTCAAATTTTGGACAGAGAGGACCACTGGTTTGAAAGAAGGGTCAAAGAGGCCATCTCTGTCAAAACTGAACAGCCCTCTCTCAACATCATCTATCTTCAGTCTACAAAACAGTTCTTTCAACAGTTCCAAGAAGGCTCCACACAGATTTGCACCACTCATGTGACTTTGAGGACACAGATAAGCTTCCAGGTAACATTGACTTGCTAAAAGAATGCAAATGAACAGCTGTCTGCAAGGAGTATAAATCTTTCCATTCCCCACCAGCCAGTCAGAGCTAAAGAAGCTTTTTGGGTGAAAAGTGAAACATCTTCAAAGAAAAACAAGAAAGTCCAGTAACCTCATGAAAAAAGCATCTTTGGGATATCAACATGAATGTTCCATTTCTCAGTGGGGAACCTAGTACAGGATTTTACTGCTTTTCTTCTTGTTGGGAACTACCAGCTGGGAAGGGAGTAGCTGATCTCCTATTTACCTCTGTCTAAAATTCTATTTTGCTACAGAGGACTGAAGGACCCTCCACCATAAACTGGTGTTCTTGCTGGGTAAGAAATCCATGCTTAAAACTTTCTGCTTGGTCCAGGATCTCCTAGGATCTAAGGTGTTATTCAGAACAAGAGAATGCAGGCAAAATAATGAATCTATCTTGGATTCTTCCTTGCAATTATCTATTGTACTGGCTTATATTATTTCTGGGTACATTTCCCTGCATCCACAGCCAGCAGGCAATTGTGAGCTGGTGGTTTGGAGGCTAAAAGAATGGAAAATCATATATTGGAACTTTGTCAGGTATCAAGCTGTCAAGGAAACAAGCACAAGTTGGTCTCTCTGGGGAAGACGTTCCTCAGCTGAGGGTCCACAGTAGAAAATGCTTTTTTTTTTTTTAGAAATTACAATCTACCTTATCTCAGGTGGTAGAACATGCATAATGTTTATGTGGATACCCAGGAAATTAGATGATCCTTCAAAGATAACTGTCAAGTTTCCAATAGACAAGACCAAATAAATTAGAACTCCAAGGCTTGAGATTTCCTCAAAAAACATGTTTATTGGTTACATAGTATTGGTACGGTCAAAAGTGAAACCATGTCTGAAGTTCCCTTCAAAGAGAAACAATATTACAAAGTTAAACTTCCCACCGCAGTGCGATACAATTGGCAGGTTTTCTGACCAAAAGCTCACGCTTCCATCTAACTGACAAAAATGACCTTGGTTCCCATGGGACAGTAAAATGTTTAGACTAGTAGAAATCCTTCACACTCCCCTCCCCTTGTGGCAACCTAGAACAAGCAAAAATGGCTGTAGCCAAGTTCATTGTAGAAAATAACCTTTTCTCCAGCATGATTGGATGGAGAACCCACGGATGGGTTGTCTTAATCTATCTGCTCCAATTAGACTAAGTCTGAAATTTAGTACCGCCCCCTCTGTGCCAACTGCACCCCAGTTTTAGACTTAGTCTCTTTGCCCCAAGACGCGTTTTGTCTTCGCTCCTGGAGCAGAAGACTGTTTAATTCTATTTAATTACTTAGCTCAGGCTATTATTATTATTTGTTATTTTATTATTGATTCAAAATCGATTATATCTAGAAGAAAGATCAATTATCCCAGTCTGAAGCCTATTCAGGCTGACAGACTCACAATCCTCATCCTCTAGGGGGGGGGGGACTTTTCCCTTCTTTGTTTTCCCTCAGTTAGGGACAGCAAGATCAAACCTTTGATTTAGGTCGTTTTCAGAGCCTCATCAAGCCTGGAGGGAGCCTTCCCAGGTCCCTCGGCCCCAGCAGAGAGCAGCAGGTGAGAATTTGGGCGTGGCCCAATTTTCGGAGCCGGGAGGGCCTGTGATTGGCTTAGTGTAATGGCATGTGGGAATGACCTTGGGAGGGAGGAGGAAGTGTCACAGGCTAAACAACCATCATGCAAAAGATATCTTAGCCCACCGAAAAAAAAGGAGCATGGGAAAATTTTCAGAAGGGACCTTCCCTAGTTTTCTGAAAATTAAAAATAAAGGAGGAGAGAAATGCTTTCAGACTTGCAAGAGTCTTACAATAAGTGTAGTTTTAGTATTCATGATTTGTACTTCTTGTCTAGACTATCTCAAAGAACTAACATTTACCTGGAGTCATTTGGTCTATATACATCTTTGTGGTGATCCTTCTCTTTTGAGTTAATTCTGAACTGTCTTTTCTTAGGGTGACTCTTTTTGAGAGTCCTTTAATTTGTTTGTAGCCTGAGATGAAGGTTAAATTATTGTTTGTTGGAGTCATTGCAAGCCTTCACAGTGAGAGAATGCTCACTTGATCCTGTCCTGGGAATGTTTTTTTCTTCCTTTTCTTTCTTTTCTTTTTAGGATTGGCAACATTAGCAATCTGTCTAGCCATTGAAGCATTTTCATTTGGTAGCTGGAGCAATGTCGATTGAGAATGAAGGAGAAATTTACAACTTTTTTTTTTCTTTTTTGCCTGAAGCAATGGCATATGGACACCAAAGACATATCACCTGTTAGGTTAAGAAGAGGGGGGGAAACAGCTTGAAAAATAGGTTTGGGATCAGCTTTCTGTGCGCTCTGAGTATATTCCATCATTTAAGGAAAAACAGAAGAGAAGGAAAATGTTATGTTTTATGCTTGATGACAGCTGGAAGCAGAAGTGCATAAGTACTCTCACCCATTTTCTTCATCTTTGCTTCATTTTCATGAACAGCATAACTATGACATATCCATGATGGTGATTCTGAATGAACAAAGTAGAGCTGTTGGTATAACACTTGTATTCTGTTGATCCTGAGAAATTTGGTTGTTGGGAAAAATAGAAATTATCATCACTATCATCATCATGAAAACAAAATTAAGTAAAAATCCAAACTTTTTTAAAAAACTTGTCTCCCCGACTATCCATTGCTTTTATTTTTAGATCGATTCCTACTATCTGACCTTGTCGCTATTCAACCAAACACACACACATTAATCTATCATGAAAAGCGAAACTGAGCAGACTCGGGTTTCATTTATTGCATGACTTTGGGACAACCAGTAGCTCCCAGCTGTCTGTCTTCCCATCAGAATAAAACAATGGGTGGAGAGTATGTTACCCATAAAATGAAGTAGACTGTTCCTTTTCATATCTTGCTGTTATTCTGCTACAAGGGTTAATATGCTCACCTGTGGCAAGATCTTGGTGACCCATTAGATCAGGAGTGTCAAACTGCCAGCCCGTGGGCCGGATGCGTCACACGGAAGCCACGCCCACCCCATTGCCAGCAATGGCAAAACTGTCCCGATATGTTGCGCAACGTCATGTGACATTGTGAGTTTGACATATCTGCATTAGATAGTTCCTCCAGTGAATTGATATAATTTCCTAAGAAGTAAATGCAGTCTTCTTATACAATAATTTATTCTATTGTTCTGAGGCCCTCTTGATATATAGTTAATGTCTCCCTTACTTTCCCCAAGTTATCCTTGAAAGTAAAGTCTCTTTCAAGTAGATCTTATAAGTTACATACAGTACATTTCTTGTCAATGAGATAAGAATAGTCTGGTGCTACCTTCTTGGGTATTTTTCAAGAGTTTATATCCCTACTATTGGTTAATTCCAGTATCAGTATTAAACTGGTTCTGATCCTGTTTTACCTTGTGTGAGATTATCCAAAATCAGCTATGTGCTGCCACCTAAATGGCATTTTACCAACTAGAACAATGTTTAGCATATCTAGGAAGTGCACTGTAGTCCATAAATATTAATGTTGTAATTTCTTTGTATTTTACATGACACAATATTCGGTCTATTCTGCTGTAGTACAGTTGTTTCTCCTGGAAATTGTTCCTTCACTGGCATGGCTTTAACTAATGGTGAGATCAGTAAGCAATCCGATTGACTTTGCAGAATTAGGCATGATCGCAATTTTTGCATTTGGGTAATTGTAACTTATATATGACAAGAGGGTTGGATCTGCTGGTGATCAGGAGTGGGAACTGTCTGATCTGTATAATGTTGCTTTACACAAAGATGCATTAAGCAGTTGTGTCATTGTGTTTCCTTTCCCACAAAGAGCATTGCCTAATGCAAGTGGACTTTCTATTTTCTCTTGAGAGAGATAATCTTGCCTTTAAATTATTGTGCTTTTTTTTCCCCCCTTTGCTTCAGTCTGCTGCTAGTGCTAATGTTTAGTGACAGTTACTCAGTGCTAATGATCACCTTTGGGGATTTTTCAGAGTGTTTGCTTCTTGCTGGTCACTGGTGAAATGTAATCAATAAATCTGCCAGACAAGCTTTTCATGTTGTCTTTCCTCTTGGAATGTAACAAACACTACTATAACTGATTTGTGACCGAGCCCCTTTAATAGCCAAGGGACCCCTTTCCCCCCATGGGAATTTGGCTAGTCCAATTGATCTAGGCAGCTGGTAAATCTGAAATGAATCAAAGAGAAAACAAGGAACATTACTTACCCCAAATAAGTAATCCTGCTATCTAGATGTTTTGCTTCAAATGATAGCAAGAGGAAAGAAATAAACAAGGAAATCATTTTTTTTTAAAAAAAAAAAAGTATCTTTGCTTTTCACTTGCCTGCTAACATTTGTTTTATAGATAGAGTACTGGTACCAACATCATATCTCAATTTATTAATGTTTATATTAATAGATGTAGTGTGTGCTATATACTGTATCAGTATCAGTTTGCAAGATTATTTTATTTAGTTAATGTATTTAGCTGTTAAATGTATGCCTACTTTTTCCTTTGCTTAAACACCTGTCAGGCACAAGGAACCAGAAACAACATAATAAGCTGATCTGAGTGGTATATTTATTATTGCTCGCTCATAGACAGGAATCTCATTACCCAAAAGCTAGATAAATAGTGCTAAGTTTTAGAAAGGATCTCCCTTCAATCACTTCCTCCCCCACAAGTGACATAAGGACAGTCCACCATTTAATTCCTCCCCTCAACAAAGCCCCAGATTACACAACACTCAAGGTGAACGTAGTCAATGCAGTTTCCATTGCAGGTTTCTCTTAGGCTAAATATAAATACCAAGAATCCTCCAGAATTGGAATTATACTTCACATTCTATGATGCAATTCCGAGATCTTATTGGGAACCACGTGAGAAATTAATTGAAAACCACTTGGCTTACATGTTCTGGTGTGTAGCAGTGCTCCAGATGTTGCTGAACTTCAAACTCCCAGGAACTTTGGCTGGCCATCTTGAGAGAGAGCTTAGGAATTAATTCAGGAACATCTGAGATGTGACAAAACTCCCCACTCTTGAGTTAAAAAAAATATAATTACCGGATTTGGAAATTGAGATTTTGCTATAGTAAAAAATACACATCAAAATGTCCTAGTGCTGCATGTCTCTTCAGAGTAGACATGTGTATATGTATGTGTGAGTGTGAGTGTGCAGGTCCTTTCTAGCGCATGTCTTTTTTAGTTGCTTCAATCTACTATGTTCATACTAATTTGGTTGTCACACTGAGCTCACTTTCAGTTGTTATGTATAACAATGACCTAACATATGGATTGAGAGAATTTCTTCATGCCAGCAGAAATGTCCAAAAATGGTACAATGGAAACAATGCTTTCCCTCATATATCATTGCCAGCTATCATCCAGCACATGTTGACGTCAAGCTCTACTTCACAATGGGAATGCAAGGTGTAAAGTAAGATTCCCCATTTGATGAAAATGACTTCTGAGGGGTCTTTTTTTGTGGGCTTATTTTATTCAGTCAGTTAGACGTTTCAGATGTCCAAAATGCAAATATAAGAATATTGATGGACTAGTTTAGGGAATATACCCCCTTTCAAAACATTTTCATGGTGCCCTATACTACACTCTAAGAAAAGGATAGTAAATACAGGGCATTCCTGCCTAAGAGCACATGGACTCTAGTAGTCTCAAAGGTGCTTTTTGAAAGAAGCAACTGGATTTTCTTGTTTTTCTTTGAAGATTTCTTGCTTCTCATCACAAGTCCAGCTGCCTCATGAAAAAAGCACCTTTGAGATAACTGTAACCTGGATGGCTGAGAATCTCCATAGACATAGACTTCAAGAGTCTTTAAACTGACCCAGATCAGTTGTGATCTTGTCCAGGAAGATCTTTTTTGGACTGCTTGTCATTGTGTTGAAGTAAGTAAATGTTATGCATATTCTTCATATTATGTACAATATACTAATGAAAAAGAAAGCAATATTTTCTTGTCTTTCAATTAAATACCTATGAAGATTTTTGTCACTTTATTTCATCAGACCACTATATATGCTGACATTTATTTTTTAATTAATAGCTAGAATAACTGTTCCTTTGAGTTACTTGCAAACTGTAAAGAGAGAAGATGGCAAGGAAAAAACAGGCAACAAAAATTAAAATAAGAAAAAAAAATGGTAAGAGAACACCTATCCAACCTTGACAAATATAAATCGCTGGGACCCAACCAATTATATATCAGAGTTCTGAAGGAGCTGGCAGATGTTATCTCAGATAACATCTGCCAGCTTTCAAAAATCTTGGAGCACTGGGGAAGTACCTGAGGATTGGAAAAGGGCTGATGTAGTCCCCGTCTTCAAGAAAGGAAAGAAAATGGACCCAGGAAACTACAGATCAATCAGTTTAACATCAATACCTGGGAAGATCCTAGAAAAGATAATCAAAAAACAGATCTGCGAACAACTAGAAGCAAACAAAGTTATAACTAGTAGCCAGCACGGGTTTGTTAAAAACAGATCAACCTTATTTCATTATTTGATAAAGTGACTAAACTAGTAGACCAGTGAAATGCTGTGGATGTAGTATACTTAGACTTCGGTAAGGCATTTGATAAAGTAGACCACAACCTACTCCTTGATAAGCTAGAAAAAGGTGGAATAGACATCATCATCATCAGGGGGATCTATAGCAGGCTGACAAACCATACTCAACGAGTAGTCCTCAATGGCACTACATCCACATGGAGAGAAGTAAGCAGTGGGGTACCACAAGATTCCATCTTAGGCCTTGTACTCTTCAATATCTTCATCAATGACTTAGATAAGGGAATTGAAGGGGAACTCATCAAATTTGCAGATGACACCAAACTGGCAGGAGTAGCCAAAAACCCCAGAAGACAAACTCAGGATCCAAAAAGATCTTGACAAACTTTAACAAAGGGCCCTATCCAACAAAATGAGTTTCAATGTGGAGAAAAGCAAAGTTTTACATTTAGACAGGAAAAATCAAAGGTATAAGTACAGATTAGGCAAGACCTGGTTTAAAAACAGTAAATGTGAGAGGGACCTTGGAGTCCTAGTGGACGATCACTTAACCATGAGCCAGCAGTGTGCAGCAGCACCCAAAAAAGCTTATACAATCCTGGGTTGTATATACAGAGGCATAGAATCAAGATCACATGAGGTATTAGTACCACTTTATAAAACCCTAGTAAGACCACACCTAGTATACTGCAGCTAATTTTAGTCACCATATCACAAAAAAGATGTTGAGAGTTTGGAAAAAATTGAGAGAAGAGCAACTAAGATGATCAAAGGCCTGGAGACTAAAACGTATCAAGAACGGTTGCAGGACTTGGGTTTGGCTAATCTAAAGAAAAGAAGAAATAGGGAGACATGATAACAGTATTCCAGTAGTTGAGGGGCTGCCACAAAGAAGAGAGGGTCATGTTATTCACCAGGGCACCAGAGGGCAGGACAAGAAATAATGGTTGGAAACTGATCAACGAGAGAAGCAACCTGGAATTAAGGAGAAGTTTCCTGACAATGAGGACAGTTAAACAGTGGAACAGCTTGCTCCCAGAAACCATGGGCATGGAGATTTTTAAAATCTAGACAGTCACTTTTCTGAGATTTATTTTATTTTATTTTATTTTTAAAATTTATAAGCCGCCCCACTCCCGTAGGACTCTGGGCGGCTAACAATAAAAACAACATAAAACATGACAAACGAACAGTATAATTACAGTCATCCTGGGGTCAGATTTTATAAACCCCAGGCCTGTCGGAAAAGCCAGGTCTTAAGCAGCTTACGGAAAACCAACAGGGTGGGAGTGGTCCTAATCTCTGGGGGAAGCTGGTTCCAAGACGTGGGTGCCATCACAGAGAAAGCCCTCCTCCGCGGCCCTGCCAAATGGCACTGCTTGGCCGACGGGACCTGAAGGAGGCCCAGCCTGTGGGATCTAACTGGACGTAGGGAACTATGAGGTAGTAGGCGGTCTCGCAAATAGCCTGGTCCTGAGCCATATAGGGCTTTAAAGGTAATAACCAACACCTTGAATTGGACCCGGAGACCAATAGGCAACCAGTGCAGCTCACGGAGGATAGGTGTAACGTGGGTGTATCGAGGAGCACCCACTATCACTCGCGCGGCTGCATTCTGGACCAACTGTAGTCTCCGAATACTTTTCAAGGGTAGCCCCATGTAGAGCGCATTGCAGTAGTCCAGAGATGGTATAGATTCTCCTGCTTGAGCAGGGGGCTGGACTAGAAGGCCTCCAAGGTCCCTTCCAATTCCATTCTACTCTACTCTACTCTACTCTATTCTATTCTATCACATCCCTTCTCCAACTAAGGAAGATGAATGCAGCAGGAAAATCTTTTTCTCACATGGTACCAGTATTCTTAAATGCTTCCTGCATACAAGGCTGCTTGGCTGACACTTTTATATGCCTTTCTCTGTCTCAGAAAATAAGTCTTACCTTGAGGCTTTGAGAGGTAGCTGACTGAGAATCCTGGAGATTTCCTCTGAAGATTTTACTCATTTTTAATTGACATATATTTCTGACATTCTTCAAAGCTTTCCAGAGTGGCTAATAACAACTAACTGTAGCATCAAAGCTTGAACAAATGCTTAAGAGGCTCATTAGAAGAGCTACTACTGTATCGATAACTTTACAAATTTTTGAAGCTGATGGGGAACAGATCCCATCAAACCTGAGATAAAATTATAAGTTTCCTTAAGTGGACATGTTCGGACTGAGTCTGGACCACCATCTTCAGTGAAGTTTTAATGTGGATGCCTACACTTAACAATGATTTGGAGAAATCTAGCTTATGTCAAAATGAAACCAAGCTTATGTCACAGAAGTAGAGATGCCATGGTGCAAATCCCATTCAGATGTTCTTGCATTGTAATGTTTTTCTGAAGTGTATAAGTAGTGAGTCTTGTTTAAATGGATCACAACACTTACTTTGTTAATTAGAGGTAGACCTTGATATATGACCAGTTGCTTAGTGACTGAAGCTTTGATTGACCCTACCAAAAATATAATTATGATCTGGTTCCAAAGTTTCAATAGCTGCCCCCCTTTGATCACATGATTGCATTTAGGTGCTTGGCAACCTGTATTTACAATCATTGTCAGTATCCCACAGTTATGTGATAACATGTATAAAGTTTTGCTGAAAACCAGTATTTACATCATAGTTTTCAACAAAAACACCTATAGCAAGCAATCATTTTGTTTAATGACTTAATAACCATGATGATTCACTTAGTGACCTCTGCAAAAAAGGATGCAAAATTGGGTTGGTCATGTGATGACTTGTTTACAGCCATCACAACTTACAACAGTAATGGGTAGGCTCCATTGCGGTCATAAATCAAGGATTACCTGTACCCCATTTTGCTATTCTTACAGACACCTATTTGATGGTCCTGATAGACTAAAAGTCTCTTTCCAATTCTATGATTTTAGAATCCCACCAAACTTTTTCAATAAGTGTTGCATCTTTGGAAGAGTGTATTCATTTCTAGCCCCGTTTTCATTACCATCAAAACATTCCAACCAAACATCTGTATTGAAAGATATGCATCTTCAAAGTTTTCCATTAGGATATAGGAAATATGTAGAAGTGTGTCATTCTGATTGCAGACTAGCTCTTTTCAAACAGCACAGCATTGACAACAAAATAGATGTTAAAATGACACAAAAAACAGAATGCATATGAAATTGCATCTAAAAGGTACTGAAAAAAAACATTTTGGAATGTAGGTTTCATTTTGTTCTACTGAATGTTTGACATTTTTTAAAATTAGTCTGTGCTGTTATTTTCTGTTCTGACTGATTTTTTTCCCTGAGATTTTCCTGTCGCACACTTGATTGGTGAACTTTGGCTACAATTTGTGTTTAAAAGATCCTGCTTTTCATATCCAACTAGAAGGATGAGCAGTACTGGAACTTGTAACAGACAGGGATACCACCTGTCTCAGCTCAGCTAGTCAGAATAGAATTATGAGCTAGATGGGTGGCTGTTCCTTATATGGAAATGTATAGTATTATTATACATTATTATAAATATATAATAGAGACAGGATGCTTACTGGAAAATACAAATTGTAGTTAATTATATATCATAAATATATTTATTTCCTACAGGATTATTAGGTACTAAGTACTAGGATGTTACCAGCTATCTTACTCAATTGCTTCATTGTCATATTGCAGAGTGGTCTTTGAGCTCAGCCCCAATTAGTAAACTCCCAGGAGGAAGGGAGGCTGCATTCCAGTAAGAGGCAACTCAGCCCAGATATTATGTGTGAGAGAAAGAGGATGAAGACAGTTTCTCCCTAATAGTTCACAGAGTACGTCATAAATGCAGATAGTAGAGTCCTCAGTTTTATAGGACTCTGCCTATGATAGGTACGAAACATTAAAGAACTCTGCTTTGGAAGAATCACTGTGTATCATTCTTGATTTGGGGCCTTTTATTTCAGAACTGGGCAGCATTTTTTTTGTTTTGTTTTGTTTTGTTCAGCAAACATGTTAGAAATATTGAAAAATAGTTTTAGGTATCTGTAATGATTGACAAAGTTACAAATCATCCATTTCCCACAAGGCAAATATAATGAAATTCTAGTGCCTTGGATGTTCCTTATTAACCTAGCTTCATTTTCCCCCCTAGTCATGAAGGCTTACTCTTAAAGAAAATACTCCTAAAAAAATGGATAGTTGTGCTTTGCTTTGTGACATATTGGTTTGGAATTTTTTTCAAAGAAGGTGTCATGAAGTTTGGAAGATGCCTTGAGTGAGCTGCCTACTGCTGGTCTGTATTTGACTCCCATGTTAGACATGATGATCTATATGTAAAGTTCCTTCATCTTGCAAAACATAGAAAAAGAGAAGTAGATAGAAGAGAAAGAATAGGAGAATAAGCTGTATCAATAAACTGAAGTGTTTAAACAATGAATGAAGGCAAATATATGTGTCCCAGGATGTTACAGGAACCAGCCTGGGTTGGTCACCAGGATCAAAGGTTTAATATTTTGAGCTTTTGGACTTGTGCTGGAGCCCATCCTCAGGAAACTTTTCTCTACCAAATTCAAAACATTCTGGTAGAGAGAAGTTCCCTCTACCAGCATGAGTTCAAAAGTTTACTAGACTAAAGCTCTGGTCCCAGTTACTAGTCCAGATTGGATCCTATCTGAACAGTCTTTCAAGCTTCAAATCTTCTCAAGTATTTTATGTAAAAACTTGCTGGGCATTGACTTCTTCACCAAATAATACAAGAAGATCATACAGGTAATATTTTGAAGATATATTGGAATGGAATGATTGACATTTGTGACTTTCTTAGCCAGCTTCCAAAAAAACAAAGTCAATGGGGAAAGCCAGATTTGCTTAATGACCATGTGAATCAACCAGA